TTTTTGATCAGCTACACAGTAAACCCCAATCTCAGATACCTAGCTGCAGTCTAGCTGGATCATAGATGCTCTACTAAGCTCTTGGGTACAGGCTCTACTTATCTTCTCATTCACCATGCCTTCCAGTGTGTTTGGACTGGTGGTTGCAAGTACAGAAGGTCCATTAATGGAAATCAGCTTCCAGTTCCTGATTTCATGCCCTAGAAGAGGCTGAGTCAAAGAACAAAAAGCACAGAATCATAGAAATGTAGGACTGGAGTGGACCTCAGGAGGTCATCTACTCCAACCCCCTGCTCAGGTCTAGATCTTCCCTGTCAAAGTCATCCTATAGAAATGTTTGTCTAAGCCAGCGGTACTCAATCTCCAACTCATGGGCTTGATCCAGCACACAGAGCCATGTCACCTCACTCATGAGTCTTCCCACAGGTTCAAAAATGTGCTGGCAGGGTAGCAGTGGCAGTACTTAATACTACTTCTCTGCTTCCAAATTTTTGGACATATAGGGAGCTCTGCAAGCTGGATGATGGCCCAGTGTTCTAGATCACACCAGTGTGCTGTGGGTCCAGCGTGTTAGGTCACTCCATGACTGGATCCTTTACCTGGGATTGATCTATTCATGGGGTCAGGCTGACACACAGGCAGATATGACACACAGGATTAACACATGCGTAGGGTCAGGCAGGGGCATGGCAATTTGCATGCATGGACTGACCATGCACACAGGATGTTGCATACAGGATGCACACAGACTGACTCCATGCCACTCATTTAGCCCATAAGGCTGGAAGATTGAGCACCACTAGTCTAACGTATTCATAAAATTGCATGAGCAACCCTCATCCACAATTACCAAGCACAGTCATAGAATCATAGAAAAGTAGGGTTGAAAGCACCTCAGGAGTTCATCTAATCCAACCTTTTCCTCAAAGCAAGGCCATCCCCAAATATCTCATCCCAGCCAAGGTTTTGTCTAGCCAAGTCTTAAAAACCTCCAAGGATGGAAATTCCATGACCTTTCTGGATAACCCATTCCAGTGTTTTACTCCCCCCCTAGAGAAATTTTTTTCCTAATAGCTAACCTTCACTTCCCTTGCTGCAACTTGAGACCATTGTTCCTTGTTCTGTCACCTGCCACCACTGAGAACAGCCTAGCTCCATCTTCCTTGGAACCACCCTTCAGGTAGGTGAAGGCTGCTATTAAATTCCCACTCACTCTTCTTTTCCACAGACTAAAAGAGCCCAGTTTCCCCAGCCCTCTAACCATTTTCATTGCCTTCTGCTGAACTTCCTCCAATTTTTCAGCATCCCTACTGTAGTGGGGGGCTCAAAACTGGACACAGTACTCCAGATGTGGCCTAACCAGTGCCAAATAGAGGAGAAAATCACTTCCCTCAGTTTGCTGGTAACACTCCTACTAAAGCAGTCCAGGATGCTGTTAGCCTTCTTGTCTACAAGGACACACTGTTGACTCATATTCAACTTATTGTCCACTGTAACCCCCAGGCCATTTCTTCAAAACTGCTGCTTAGCCAGTCAGTCCCCAGCCTGTATCAGAGCAGCAAATATGATTTAATTAGAATGAGTAAGAACAATCTGCAGGGCTGTGAAATATAACAAATTTAAGTACAGACCCAAATCTGTACAGTGCCAGAAAACAACCACACACCCTAACATTCCAAAGGCAAGGCAATGCGATGAGGGCACTAATAATGTCCTGCCACTGCAAGGACATGAATCAGTTAATTAAAATACACTAGGGAGATCCAAGGAAGGGGATTATGCAACAGTCCATGCCAATCTGACCATAAGGTAAAATTCCTTCCTGATCCTAAATGTGCCAATTGGTCACACCCTGAAAAGAGGGACAAGACGCTAGCCAGGAAACTCTGGGTTTTTTTATAAGTCCCAGCAGGATTATCAGTACACCTCAGGCTGCTTATTGATATTAAAGAAAAACAAAAAATTGTGCTTTACTGGAAGAAGCAACATGTTAGTTCAACCCTGCTCTACAGAGTTCATATAGATTGGGTGCTTCAGTGGGGCTTTTAGTTGTTTTTTCTAAAGCTGATTTAATCAACTATTAGATAAAAATGCCAGAAAAAGCCCCACTAAAGTGTCCAATCTATCTAGACATCATGTGAGCTGGGTCCAGCTAAGGCATTGCCTCTTCTGGGCATGTGCTGGACTCAGTGCAGGAGCGCACCGAGTTTAAAGTAAAGTGCCATTTTCTTTTGTTGTTTTGGTTTTTTTTAATTGTGAGCCTTGGCTCCAACCAACACCCAGTGCCTTTCAGGAAGATGAACCCCTCTCTCTCCCCATACCTGTAGCAACAGTAAGGAAATCATTCCTTCCCTACATCGTGTGGCAACCAGCAAAAGCCTAGAAGCCCTGGAAAAGCAACCACCCTCCTTTATGTAATACCTGTTATGTACATGCCTTTGGTATAGGCCTCCAGGTAAGATACAGACTGGCTCAGCAGTGTGGGGTAGTTTAGGGTGACAGACTTTCAGGACTGATCCTAAATATCAGTGTAGATATACCTTAGGAATTCCTCAGTGATCTCTGCACCAACTACTGTCCCATCCTGCCTTCTTGAGATCTGACAAGATGATAAGGGTGAAGGTTTACTTTACCTATTAAGTGGTATTTGCAAATTTGTTGTCATAGACTGAATCAAATCCTTTAGTGCCAAATGAATAAAAATCATAATTAACAATAATAAACATTGTAGCTGTTAGATTTGGGATTTTATTACCTGGGTCTTCTGGCAGGAATCCATTTCTTTAAGAGAGCATCTGTTGAGTTACATTCTCTAATCATGAGTGCAAAAATAGAACAGAGTTTTTCCTCTTCAGTAAAGATGAGTGTGTTGGGTTCTAAGCTTGAATTTTTATGATAGTATCTACTTCTAATATTGAAAATGAAATCAACAGCTGAATTAGAAGCAACCCAGCTGCCTTGTGTAAAGGGAAACAGCCATGTAATAAAAATAGTCTTACCACTACATTCAATAATAAAGAAAAGTAAATCACTAGGCAAAATTTGTCAAGAGTCTTAAATACAATTTTAAAGTAAAGTATAATTAACAATTGATATGAAGCTGCCATCTGGACAGTTGGCTGATGTAGATTAAGATTTGAGCAATGAAGCTTCCATCTGAAGGCATGAAAAAAGCAGGCTGTCAAAGCTGTTGAAAACTAAGTTTTGATGAGATCAGCATTGGTAATGTAGGGCACAACCTAAAGCCTGTTAAAATCAATGGAATGATTTCCCCTGATTTCAGTGGGCCTTGGATCAGTACTCTACACCAGTGTAAAATAAACCTTTCAAAAATAAAAAGAATAATTCCTATTTTACAACATTTTTCTCATGTATTTTACGGGGAGCTGAGTTGAATCTTACCTTATAGGGAAAATTCTGGCTGCACTGAAGTCAGTGGGAGTTTTGAGAGAGTACGAGATTGAATGTGGAATATCAAGGTTAGTAGTTCTTAACAATAACTGTTCCTTGTGTCAATTTTAAAGAAGACCACAGAACATTCAAATAAATGAAAAGAAGGTGTTCTTTTTCCCAAGGATGTTTTTTTACTGTACATTTTGTAGCAAAAAAGAAATTAAAGGAAAAAAATATTCTGATCACAGGGATGTCATTTTCTAAAACTCCAGGTAGGAAACATGACGAATACAAGATCAAGTACACAGCCATGTCACAATATATCTCTGAGCCTTTAAAAAAAATATACATAGAGTTTTTGTGTGTTTTTCCTTTGCATCATACAACCTTTCTCCATACATCTTTTACAAAATAATTGGTTGCCATTTTCCAGCAGCCAGATCATTGGGAACAAATAAATAAGTAAACAAATTAAATCAACACAATTGCTGTAGCTGCCAAAATGCTGGAAATCACAGTCAAGTCACTGTGGAGAGTGTAATCAAGTGGGCAAACCATGCGTATCCACAGCATTCTCAGAACCGTGGCAATGTTCTCCAAAAAGGAACTTGAAAATCAGTTTTAAAGCCACAAAGAACTGCTGTTCTTAACAGGTACCTTACCAAGAGAGAGAAACAGATTTGAGCATGTTTACGGCATAGAGGAAGGGCAGGATGCAGGTGACACTTGGGAGCCCACCCATTCAAAAAACATCCAAATATAGCTGATTTTCCATAGCTAATTCAAAACATAACCATTATACTATTAATCCCCCAAAATGGTCAAAAACCTGAACTTCTTGTGATATTACTGATATCATCATGCCCTGTTGTGGCAATAGAGAGCTTTTTGTCACAATATAGTGAAAGTCTGCATTTTCTTTGTCAGTTGAAGAGAGAGAGCTAAAATAACTTTTGCCAGAAGCAATTTGTATTAATAATGTGGAGAGTTCACCAGAGCAGCTTATGTTTTTCCTCTCTCTTTCCTTTGATATGAAATCTTGACTTTTTTCCCCAGTCTCTGACAGCAAAACCCTCACAGATACCAACAACCACTGAAATCTGCCTTGTGCACTGACAAGCAGAAACTGTGAGGGAGATGGAAGAAAAATGATTAATTATAAAAAAAAAAATATTAACTCCTAGATTTTATTTTCCTGGGAGATAAGGGAAAGTTTTGGAGGTGGGCTATACATTACATCAAAAGTTTGATCTTTGTACGCATCCCTGGTTATAACAGAGGGACTTGAGAGAATAAAAACTAAAAAAAAAGAACGGAAACACCATTTCTCCTGAAAAAATAACAAGAAAAAACAAAAAAAATTCCCAACCCAAGAACAAGAAAGACAATTCTTCATATGTAGCTGTTAACATCAAGAGATTAAGCCAAAAAGTGAATCTGTTTTTTGTCCTATGGATGACCTGACTGTAGTTTTGCGGCAAGAAACATTTGCAATGACAGAAGGTAACAATCTTGCATTAGTCTTCTATCCATGGGAGTATCCTTCTCAAGTTACCAAAAAGGAAAGGGGGAAAAAAACCCACCAACTTTGAATCACATATATGCTGCTATACCCACTTTAAACTTCATTTACGATAATCTTGTTTGATGGTTCACTGAGAGGCCAGGAAACTTTTGGAAAGCAATGCTAAATACAACTAGTAAATTCCTTGAAGTATTCACATGTTTTTTTTTTCAGAGCCAGACATTAGTGACACCATACATGCTTATTAGCATTTCATTATCTTTTTCCTCTATTATCCCATTTTATTTACCTATTTTCTTTTTTTTTCCTTTCTTCTTTTATTTCATTTATTTTATTGTATTTTTGGCCAATAAGGTTGAGAATGTTTTTTTTCCTCCCTTTTTCATATTTATGGCCTTTCAACAAAACCAAACTTTATTACACTTGCAGTAAGAAGAGAGGGGGAGAAGCTCTTATTTACACCGTGCTTTCCATTACCCATTCTGAGCTCCCGTAAGTCCCTTTTGCCCCTGGTAGGTCATTGTCATCATACTGCAAAAGCATGCCGTTGACCGAGAGGCTTCGCTTTGTCCAAATGTTTGTGATCCTTCTTGGGTAGGTGCAACACTGGGATGTGGCAAAGTCCCCCATGTCAAAAGAATGGCTACGTTTAGTTTTACCCTCCAGAGGTAACGTGAGGAGGCTACGGAATTTGGACTCATGCTGGCCCAGAAGTGGCTCTCTGTCCGAATGGTGGGCCACTGTGGAAGTTCTGGAGTCTATCGTATCCTCCTTTTTCTGACACTTCAGTTCCAGGGAGGCAAAAGCTCCCATTAGCCGGTCAATGTTGTGTTTTGACCTAGAAGGGGGCCTCCACTTACTGGACAATGTGCCCTGTTCACTTTGAAGGCTATAGTCATCACAGTCGCGGCTATTCACAGAACTAGAGGAAGAAGAAATGCTGCTTCGTGCAGACTCACAGTTAAATTCCATGAGTTCATTTCTCACAACTACTTTTGGGTTGACTTGGGGCAGGACCCCATTTTGAATAGGTTGTGCTCCATTCGTTTGTGAGTAGACATTGCTGACATTGGCCATCTTCCCCTGGGAATTGTTGCAAACCTTGTACCGGACCATAAGTATGACAATAAACACTAGCAAAGTTGCCACAATTATGCCTCCAATGACCAAGATCATTGTCCCCCCCAGAAAATGGCTGTGCATGGATTGGCACTGAGGATAGTCCTCTTTGGTGAAGAACTGGGCGCATCCCACAATGTTGGTAGCAGTGAGGGTCGTGGCAGTGTCATCCCACATGGCTAAGACACAGAGGTCATAGTTTGTTCCCGAAACAAGATTGTTCACCACAAAGGCTTTGTTTGTAGCAGGGATCATCCTTAAAAAGAAAAAAGAGAGAGAAGGAGGAAATTAGTTTAAAATGTAATGGGAAACAGGTATAAGAACAGTTTGTTGATTACTGGTAGAGGTGGGTCTGAGCTATGCAATTCAGGCCTGGAGATGAACTTTACTGAACTTCAGGAATCTTCAGAATTAAGGTTTTTCTTCCGGTTCATCTCTCTGGCTGGGTGAACATCTTGGGTAGAAGAGCTTGGGCTTCTATGAGTCAGTGCTAACTGAGTCTGCAAAACTGCTCTCCTTCCTTCTGAGTTCAGGTCTGGCAGCCTTGATTTTGCTACATGGGTGCTTGGCCTTTTGCCTTACCATGTGAGGATGTAGTTTAAATTGTGATTTCAGCACAAGAGACAAACTTGCATTTGGATTGCTACTCCCTGAGCACTGGCGGCAAGCAGCCAGCTATTTATACCTCCCCGCACATTATGCAGGATGGTTCCTTTAAGTGCAAAGATCTGTTCTACCAGAAATTTCTCTGTGTGACCATGTTTATCAGTCACACTGGCAAATAAGGATCTGCACTGGCAATGAGAGCTGTGAGAAGAGGTGGGGAGACGAGGAGGTGGATGAGAAAAGCTATTTTTGAAAGCCACTCAAAACCAAATACTATTGCAGCAAATGAGCATGATATAAAAAACCCAAAATGATAAGTGTCAAAGTGATGCTTGCAAAGCAGGCCATTGTGTGCAGAAATTATGTTACACATGGGTAACACTAGAGCAATGCCACATACAAAATGACCGGATCAGGATGGCAGTGTCGCACACCCATTTTGCATTCACTGCACCCTGATGTAATTGAAAACACAAGGGGCTAGCTTCTTTTCTACCAGCTTGGTGTTTAAGTACACTCAGGTGCTTATGTGCAATTCTATTCCACCTTGTTCAAGTCCCTGAAAATCCAATATTGCATCCATATCCTAACATATTATGTTTAAGACTGAACGATTAAAAAAAAGAATGAGGAGGAGGTGTGACATAGCTTTTACATTAACTGTTTTTCAGGGACTGAAGCAGGGTGGAAAAGAACCACCCTTAGGCACCTAGGTCTACGTATTTGCCTAACAGGTGGAACAGGATCTAGCCCCAAATGTGCGATATGCCTTCTTCATGTGTTCTGCAAATAGTTCACTGATGTGTATCTTTTGTATTTTTATCTCCATATGTTCACACAACAACAGGCTGGTTTGGCAAAGGCAAGGCAAATTAAACGTAAAGGGCCTGATTCTTACATATACCTAACACTGTCAGAGGAGCAGCTACAGGACCACTTATATAGCTCAACCTGCTACCATGAGGTATAACAACGAAAAGAGGAAAAGTATGTCTGTCATGCTCTAAAACCATGCCAATCCTCAGCTGCTTTCTTGCCCTTCTGTAGACAATGAAGTAAGCTGAAATAAAAGCAGTCCACCGGCTTGTCTGTCAAAACATAGGAGGACCAGACTACATGGAAAGCAAGAAGATAAGGGCAATGTGTAAAACCACTTTTACATGTACAGTTATCCCATCCATGCAGTCTGGCCCTAGCTGAAGATGTGGCCCATGTTTTTAGAACACAACACGCAGAATAAACCTCACTCGGAGAAGCCTGGAAAATACAGCAGCCCCATAGATCATAGCTAATACATTCTGCACTGACATAACTGAGTTACCGAAGAAACCTCAGGTGTACTCAATAGCTCTGCATAGGTGGAACTACATTTTTGAAAAGAGGGGTCTACATGGTGAGGTGCATCATCATCACATATACAATAACATATTTTTCTCCAGTTAAAAATAAACTAGAAGCTTTACTAATGCACTAGGGGCCTAGGACTCTAGTATTCAGTTTAAGGTTGAAACCGAAACCAAAATAACTTCATAAGAAGGAGTTAAAAACCACCTGCAGGGTTGTGAACCAGGCACTTCATTCTCAGGAGCAGCTAACCCACAGTAAAATTGCAGAACAAAAGCTAGTTTGATTGGTGGAACACCTAGACAATTAAAAGTTGTTAACACTTGTGGAATGAAGAATTCACAAGGGGCCAGATAGATTATAATCAACCATGAAGTCAATTGACTCCCTCAGCATTGCCATTCTAGAAATGCTGCTGCCACTGCTAAACAGTTGGTTTTAAAGTTTGGGTGGTGTAGGAACCTCCCAGGATTTGCCACTGTAGCCCTGCTGCCCGTATCTAAAAAGTTCAGTTCCATGCAAGGGTCATTCTAGAGCCATTTCTGATTGCAATTTCTCCCTGTGGCTTTGAAAGTATTACCTTCCAGCTTCCAGCATCTGTCTAGACAGTGTTTCTCTTCAACCCCACTAAGCCACTTCCTCTTACAGTCATAACATAGTCCTTTAGAATACCAGGCCTTGACATATCATCTACTGTGTGCTGTATGGTGCCAAGCACCCAATACATAATACTGATAATGAAGACAGAGCAAACATGAGAGCTCCCATTAGTTTTGATTTTACCATCATAGCTCAGTCAATTGGTTTGCATATATGCATTCTTGTTATCAAATCACTCCTGTGACTAATCCTTTAACTTTCCTCTCCCAGAGTCTCTGTCAGTGATTATTATGATTTATTGAAGTATTCACACATCTACAAGTAGGCAGCTCTGTTGGCCAGCTATGACAATTCTATTTCTTGCTGCTACATGCCCATGCTATTTCCTGCCTTTGTAGAAGCGGGGGCAAGGCATAAATCTCACAGGAAAATCCAATTTCATGAGATTTCCTTCTCATGAAATTTAGAAGTGAAAAATACTTTTACATGTTTGATTTGTGAATGCTGAAGATGTGATCACAGGAATCAGTCAATGTTTGTAAAGTGCTTTGATCTCCCCTCCCATGGAATAGACTAACTATTGCCATCCAAGCAAAACCTTGTAAGTTTAGCCCATCAGCAGCCTGAATATGACCCTCAGGGGTTGGCCCAGCTGTGGTTTTAAAGAGCCCTTTTGGTTCTGTGCTAATTCCCTGCTATTGAACCCACATGGTAGAGTGTGGAGTTCCATGATTAACAGTCCTAGAAGTGCAGAGCAGCTGTGAAAGGCTCACCATGTGATGGAGCAAAGCAAAGATTGAAGTGGCATCTTGCAGCTACCCGTGTTGGGGATAATCAAAGCATCATCAATATCCTAGAGTGAAAATGTGCCTGCATCGATTTCAGGTGTGGGGACTCTTAAGAGCTGTCATCAATCACAGCTGACTAGTAATAAGTTGGTGGGGTGGGGGGAGGGTTATCTGAGACAGAGTATCATGAAATAGTCTTACCATCAGGGAACTTCATAAAAACAAGATCAACCTCTTCAGACAACAAAATAACTGGTTTTGAGTTTTAAAACTTAACCCATAGACTGCTTGAATCTTTTGCCTCTTTCCATCCTGACATGTTCTATTACAGCACCATTCAAAATATCATGCAGAGATACCTAAAATCTATTGGTAAGTCTGCCCATGGCCTCTGATTTTGGATGTGCTATGGAGAAATGATCATTTTCCCATGATTGAGATTGCAACCAAGTTATCTTACATGCCTATTATTAGCTGCTACAGCTGTGGCTAACAATTCATAAATTCATAGATATTAGAGTTGGAAGGGACCTCAGCAGATCATTGAGTCCAACCCCCTGCCATGAGCAGGAAAGAGCACTGGGGTCATATGACCCCAGCCAGGTGCTTGTCCAGTCTCCTCTTGCAGACCCCCAAGGTAGGGGAGAGCACCACCTCTCTTGGAAGCCCATTTCAGATGCTGGCAACCCTTACCATAAAGAAGTTCTTTCTCATGTCTAACCTGAATCTGCTCACTGTCACTTTGCGGCCGTTATATCTAGCTACTCCAAGGGGTGCCCTGATAAACAGGGCATCTCCTACCCCTTGCTGTTGCCCCCTGATGAATTTGTAGATGGCCACAAGTTCACCTCTCAGCCTTTTCTTGCGGAGGCTGAAGAGATTCAGACCTCTCAATCTCCCCTTGTAGGGCCTTACCTGCAGGCCCTTGACCCTCCTCTGGACCCTCTCAAGGTAATCCACATCCCTCTTGAAGTACAGCACCCAAAACTGGACACAGTGCTCCAGCTGCAGCCTCACCAGTGCCACATAGAGGGGAAGTATCACCTCCCTGGACCTGTCTGTGATGCACCTGTTAATGCATGATAAAGTGCAGCTAGATTTACTAATCATTTCATCACATTGATGACTCATGTTAACTTGGAGTCAACTGTGAGTATGAGATCCCCTTCTGCTATGGTGCTGCTCAGAAGGTCATCCCCCAGCTTGTAAGTGTGCTGGTGATTCCTTCTCCCTAGGTGAAGCACTTTGCATTTGTCCTTGTTGAATTGCATCTTATTCTGTTCTGCCCACTTATCCAACCTGTCCAGTTCCGCCTGGATGTGTTCCCTGCCCACTAGTGTTTTTACTTTACCTTCTAATTTGGTGTCATCTGCAAATTTGGACAGAGTGCTCTCCATGCCCTCATCCAAGTCACTGATGAAGACATTGAACAGCATGGGTCCAAGGACCAAACCTTGGAGAGCTCCACTGCCCAAATCCTTTCAGGCTGATGCCAACCCGTCCACAACCACTTTCTGGGTGAGTCCCATTAGCCAATTTGCCACTCACCTGACCATGTAATCATCTATGTCACAGCCACTCAGTTTGTTTATGAGAATAGGATGAGATACCGTGTCAAGGGCTTTCTTAAAATCTAAAGAAACTATAATCTACCTCGTCCCTGCATCTAAACATTTTGTGATTTGGTCATAAAAAGAAACAAGGTTAGTCAGGCAGGATCTATCTGCTATGAACCCATGCCGGTTGCCCTTCAGCATTTTTTTTTTTTGCTGGACTCCCACAAATCTGATCCTTAATCATTTTTTCAAAGTTTTCCCCAAGGATAGAGGTGAGGCTAACTGCCCTATAGTTACCTGGATCCTCCTTCCTCCCTCTCTTGAAAATAGGGATCACACTGGCCCTTTTCCAATCCTCTGAG